GGTTGATATATAAAAGCTAGAAGCAAGTAGATATTGTTGAAATAGAAACTTTAATTTCCACTAACTGACTAGTCACAACCAACCAACAGTGGGTAGAATTTAGTCAACCCTTCTAAACACTGGGTCACAACGTAAACAGAGCTAAATTGGTGTGGCTTACATTAGCAGAGCTAGCACCACCATGAATCCACATAACTGTGCTGTTTACACAATGCTCTAGTGGAGTGGCTATCCAGGTCAACTGGACACAATCTACAAAATACTAATAGACCAGAATACTGCTAAATCACATCCTGCTTTGAGAGGCCATCTGTCATCTGTGTTTGTTTATATCCAGGTTGTAGGGTAACCATATTCTGAATCCCCAAAAAGAGGACACGAATCACAGAGTCGCACAAAGTGAATTTTAAGTTTTTCGGGTCGGATTGAGTGTCTTTTACGTGCTTCTAACTCAGTAAGTTCACGTGACACAAACTTGAAACTTCCATCTAAAACCCCGGACATTTGAAGGATTTTATAAACTTCCCCGAAAAAGGCCAGACAAGGCCTGACAGCCAGGACAGCCCCCCCAAAAGAGGACATGTCTGGGTAAAAGAGGACATATGGTCACCCTAAGGTTGTAGAGCATGATAGTATTATGGCAGCTGCAGCTAACTGGAGCTGCAGTGCTGGCTTGCAATGAATAGATGTGCCAAAGCATGGACACAACATGTGACTGGCATTTTGTCTGACAGTAAAAAAATATGAATCATTCCAATTATAAGTTATTCTGGTTCCTACAAGTGAGACTGATCATTTCAATTAGTTAACTGAATGCACACTTCCCTTGTTGTGACCCCAATTATATCTTGTTTTTGGCATTCTTCTAGCAATTGTTTACCATACCTCAAAGAGTTTACCTCATTAAAGTTACTACACCTGTGACTCAAGAAGAAAAACCTGTGGCTCTTTGGCACACTCATAGATAAAGCTGACTACCAATTAGTTCAGATGGATGTGTGAGAGTTGATTTTCTTATATAAGCCTGTTTGAGAGCATCAGTCACTTAAGATGAATCATTATGTAATGTGTCAAGAGTAGAAATACAAACTGTGGATGACAAATACTAAACATATGCCAGAAAAACGATTGGCAAAGATGAACAGTGATTACATCTGCAGTGACTGGAGTTATGAAAAATAAATTGCCTCCTCAATGCCTTCATGAATCAAAAAAATAGAACTTAAGTGTGTAAGACATTTTTACATTTGCATGTGTTTCAGTGAATGAGAGATGACATGCTTGAAGGAGCACAAGCTCAACCATGAGATTTGTGTTGTGTGTTGAGACACAGAAACAGAGTGCAATCATTGCTGTGCAGAGTGTTGACTCTACAGGGATGTGCAGTAACATGCCGTCTAATTAACAGTGTCCTCTCGGTGCCGAGGCTGGTTCCCAGCCCTAGCAGCCATGATTAAAAGAGATGCTCTCAAAGGACGGGAAGCACTTCCAATTCACTCCAGATACTTCCTGGATGTCGTCCATACACAATCACCCATCTCATCTTGACCAGAACGGACGCTCTTTTAACTTTCCGTCTTACTTTGTCGCTGGGTCTCAAGTGCGCACATACTTTCCTCTGACTTTTTTCCTCATTCCCTTCATCAGTGTGCCGCTTTTTTCTTGTTCTCTGGGCTCGTCTTTTCCCACAAACACTCGTTCTCTCTCCTCCCCTCTCACTTGTCTCACCCTTGCTGTCTGCCAAGGCTTCACATCAAAGCTGATGATTGGTTTCTAACCGTTCAGCCGGCAGTATTTTATCCTGCTTTGTGTGAAGAGACTAAAATAATCAGCATGAATATGGAAAACCTGCCTCTATGGTAATATCCAGGCCAGTAATATCCATATCAGTCAAACTAACTTGGCTTGATTTGACTTACATGCAAACGGATGGCATCACTTTACTCCACAGTCCCCTTGGCTTGGAGTCACATTGTAAACACTGACTCTGACTGAGGTGTATAAATATACCAACTTGTCAAGGTTGTTGGCTCAGTGCTGGAATTAACTCCTGAACAGAAAGCAACAATTTACTTGTTTCTGTTTTTTCTTTTTTTTTTGTTTTCCTGGCATCATCTCCACCTCCTGATGTAAAGTCTCCTCACCTTGGTTTGACTTCTCTGTACATCACTGCAACTCAAGGTTGTTGGCTGAGTGTTTTTAAGTCTGCCCGGCAAGGTCTTTAACTTCACTAAATAGTAAAGAGGAATTAAATGAGTCTCTTGTCCTTGGGCTTAAGTCTTCCTACAATATACTTACAGTAGATACGATTAGAAGCATTAGGTTTTACATGATCTTAGAGTCACACTAAACACTTGGTGATACTACTAAAACTTTTTGGATCATGTCAGTGCGCACAGTTTTAGAGAAGATTCCTAATTCAAACAAGTGTTGATCAAACTGGCAGATTTAAGCAACAAGAAAGTAAACAGTCAAGATCAGTGGATAATGTTGGCAGAAATCTAAATCAGTCTTTCTAAAGAATCTTTTTCACGAGTGTATACGCTCTGAAGTCGAGGGTTAGTAGGTCCCCTCCATAGACTGTATCGCAATATTGACCCTGCATCTCCATTTCCTCCCATTGCAAGATTTGAAAGCAAAATTTTGTCTCAATAGGCATTGACATGTTTTACTAGTCAATCCAAGGGGCTAACTGCTGACATGCTAGCAAGCCACGAACATGCTATGAAGCTGGTTTCTTCACTGGAAACAGAAAAAAAAAGAAAGAAAATCAGCCATCTCTGCTTCCAGTCAAAAAATAACTAAAGGAGATCAAATAAAAGGTGAATGAAAATCTGGGTGGTTGCATGCCCATGACACTGGTGCAAGGCAAACAAACAAACAAATAAAAAACATCTTGAAGACAAGAAGATAAGCACATGCATTTACGCACTTACAACACAAGAAGTTTCACAGTAACTTCACAAGTTTCTAAAGTTTCCTTCTGTATATTACCTCTGCTGAGGACCTATGAGGTCAGGCTTTAGTTAGAGAAAATATGACACTTTAGAGACGGTTTAGGGCTGAAACTCTGAACATAACCTAATCTCAACCAGATCATGGGAGTAGAATTAGTTACCACGGTGATTTAGCCGGGTTATGACAGACAGACAGCTACATGACACCAAAAACTCTCAAAACTTAACAGACCAGGTTCAGCCTCCAACTTTGCTTCATGGTTTCCAGAAATACCCAGAACACCGCAAACCATGCTTCTTTTCTCTGAGTATTCAGAGTTATTGGTCACATGAGACAACGTTTAATGCCTTATTTTATCCTGATGAAGGTGCTCAAAGGAGCAAGAAATCTTTGAATATACAAAGCACGTTAGATATACAGAAAGGTAGACTAATCTTGTGGCAACAAACACTTTAAAACCTCCTCTACCTCATTAGGTCATAATCATGCATTTAAAGAGAACGATATTATACTAGTGAGTAAATAAATCTTTAAGAGTGTCAGTTGGATTGAAGAGAGTTACTTCTCACATCCATATCTCAAAACTGAACAAAGTACCTTTGCCTTGTATGTTCTCTTTCAGTGAAAATAAAGTACCTACGTACCATAGACAGGGCTTAACTACTGTATGGGGGCAGTTCAGATCTTTTCCCCTCAGGAGTGGCTCATTCTTCTTTTTATATCTCGGTGCACTTTACATTCAGGAGTATAAAGTAGATGTTTCAAATTTTTTGTTCCCTTCTACAATCATCATTATTATCAGGATTGGTTCGTCTTTACTTTTTGCCATCGCTGTAAAAACAGAATACCACCTTACTGTCTCACTGTCATATTACCAGTTGTGAAAATTGAACATATTTCTAAAGCATTAACAGAATGGTCTATGAAACTTGGACTCCTAAAAAAGTATCCTGTAATGGAGCCTGTTACTTCACTGACACCTTAAATCTGCCACCTGCAGCGTGTCATACAAGCCTCAGATTAGCAGCAACAAATGACACATTCAGTAAATTGCTTCCAGTGTGCTTGGGCTTTAACTTCAATCAAAGTCTAGACTCTGCAGTAAGCTGTACCCTGGTTTCACGGATTCTGAGGTGGAAGCAACTAACAAGGTATGAGCCATTCGGGGTCTCCACCTCTGGAAATAATAAGTTCTGCATAAGCATATTTTGATAGAGATGTATTAGGAAGAATCTCTAAAGCTCAGTGGATTAAGTCTTGGATCATGATCTGAATTCTCACTATCTCTGTCCTTTTTCTTATTGCTGAGTGAAATGGGTTGAGCAGAAATGCTTTCTATGAAGCAGAAAGTGAACAGAGAAATACACCAGGACTGTAAGAGATTGAGGGGAAAATGGTGAGGGCGGAAGAGACACATTTCTCACTCAAAGATTGATAAAAGAGAGATCTTTCTGTAACTCCAGGCTAATTCAATGAGTAGTGCCAGATCTCACAGGGGATTTACAGGCCTGGCTTCAAAACAATTAGCTGGAGAATGGGAGCCATTTAGAAGACAAGGAGACGAGGAGATCTTAATACAGCTGTGGGTATTTCCCCATGGAGGAGTCATTTTTACAACCTCCTTACAGACTCCGTCTCTCACTGTAATACGGCTATAGCCAATCTCCTCTCCATCATTTCACAGAGAAGACAATTTTGTGAAAGCTGCTGTAGGGAAAAAGAGAGATGAGAGGAAGAGAGGAAGAGAAAAGGCCTGCAATGCTGACAAAAAGAGGGGAGGAATTATAAAAAGAAAAAGATGTGAGCAGCACTGGAGAATCAAATAGGGAAACTTAAAGGCAGGAAGTGAGAGATAAAAACACAATTGGAAGGCAGAAGTGTGGAGACTGAGAGCGTCAGAGAAAAGCGCTAGCTTAAACAGAGAGATGAACAGACAGAGAAAGTAACATGCTCCAGGAAACAGATACAGCTCAGCAGAAGGCTGGTAGTGGTTGTCTAGGGAGCTGGAAGATTGAAGATCCCTCTCTCTTTATGAGGACTTCCTGCTTGCTGCCCTCTGTTTGCCAAGGACCAATCAGTGAGTCCACCTGCCTGCAGGGACCAATCAGTCAGAGAACAGAAGAACTAAGTCAGCATGTCCTCGTCCACACAGGTAATCAAAGGCACTGTTAAAGCGCCGCAACTATGGACTGCTTTTCAAACGCTCTTAAACAAGCTCCTCTACGCAGCACCATTTACCGCAGAGCCTGCCCTCAGGAAGCTTGTCATGTAGCTGTAACTAATTCTAGCATAATTTAGTGTATTCTCACCTCTCACCCTTACCTGCAGGGCTAGAGCTGCAATCATGTGGAAGTTATGATAATTTTAATTACACTAGTTTGGAGGTTTTAATGCAAGTTCTGCTATATTAGTGCTAAAAATCCAAAAGTGCTTGAGGCAAGGCAAGCTAACAATTAAATGCTAATTTAAACCTGCACTCATCAAAATTTTGGACAAACATCAGACAGCAGACCAGCGGAAATGTAAGAAGCTCTATAACACCGACAGATCATCGACAGCTGCACACAACACCTCAGTCCTTTTTCAGTCCCTTTGAGCTGATTGTTTTGGTTTTACATCCAACACTCTCATTGTTTTTGTGTTTACTCCTGATGCTCTCATTTACTACACTTGACAGGAGACAAAAAAACAGCATCAAGAATTGATCCCTAATCACATTATCCGGGTATGTTTGTTTACACAACTATGAGAAGTTTGATGTAGAGTGACTTCAGTCAAGCTAACATGTTAACATGGTTTTAAAACAGTCCAGTTTCAGTCAAACTGAAACAAAGAATTGATTTATTTAACAATACGTAAAAGCATGTCTGTTGACAATTCCCCTCAATGTCAGGTGGATGTATAAATGAGCAACTTTCTATGCTTACAACTTTGCCACTCCACCGCTGAAAGGTGGTGACATGACACTGTACTATTAAAGGCTGTGTGGGATTTTTTGGTTGTGAATATTTTGGTATTCAAGGTGAACTTTTTCTTTATTTGCTGACTTTGTCTTGTGCATGTATAAATAGGGATTATTCCTCATAAAATAAACGTATGCATTTTTCTAAATTTTGGTCTAAAATGTGTCTCTTGCTAAATATATTTGTCATAGAAAATGTAAAAAATAAACAATTATTCTGGTAAAATAACATTATGGGAATAATCTATTTGAAAAGTTATGTTTGTTTGTTTTAAAAGTCTAATAGGAACAATATTTGTAGTTTAGAGAGTTCTCACAGAAGCTTTAAGTAGGGGACGATGTACGGTGAGTGGGTGCTTTAGTTAAACAGAATCCCTCGCCGACACATCTTGCCACATCCTGATGAAATTCTATTTTGCAAAACCACCCATGCACAATATTTTATCCCGCTTATTATGTAACCACAAAGTGAAGATACAAACAACTTGACACTAAGTAATAATTTGAGCAGACTTTTAAAGTGATTTATTAATGCAAGTCAAAGATAAAGAAGTCTCTTATATTCAATGATTCTATGGCAACGGTATTCCTTAAAGCCTACCTGACATTTAACTTAAAATTTTAATTCATATTCAAGTCTAGACATTACCTGCTATTCTGGGATATTACTTTACAGATGCACAAAAATAGAAGCAGCACCTGTCGAAGGTCCTCTTTCCTGTAACTTTCTTTTGGCATTTTCTTCTCAGTCAGTCAGTCCTGTAACACTGCAGCAGCCTAAACTGTGTTGTGGTTTATAGTCACTTCAAGTCTGTTTACTTCAGTTTCCTTTATATCATTTTAATTCAGCTTCTTCAGCCCTCTCTACTTTTGTGTTTTGTTTCTCCTCTTGTCTTCTTTTCTCTGCTGGTGACTACTAATCTCTAATTTTATGCTATCCTAATAGATTTACAATAATATTGAAAAATTACCTCCACACTGCTTTATGACGCAGTGGGAAACTAACTTTATAAATGTGCCCTAATTTTGCCCTGCAGATGGTTGATTTGGTTGCAATTCAGAATTAAAAGCTGTTACTAATGTGTTTTTACTTCTAAGAATATAGTAATTTACACAGCTGGGAGATAAGTAAGAAAGCTGGGTAATAAATTGTGTTTATATGTAAATTAAAGATAAGATAAAGAAGTCACTTAGATCCACACAGAGTTTAAAATGCAAGCCAGTCAAATGTCAAAAAATGTTTTTTGACACAAGTAATTTGCCCTACTTTTCCCTCTCCCTTGTTCTGATTGATCCCACCTACAAAGAAAATTCTATCCAACAAAAGCCTAAAAGAGCAGCTGTTTAGTCATGTCAGCTCAGATAGTTTTTCTGCAAGCTTGATTCGATGCAGTTGGCAAACACATACAAATCTACTTGTGCAATTCATAAGCATGAAGTAAAAGATATCCAATCATTGCATGAACAAAATCTAATGTTTGCATCAAAGCTGCACCATAAAACAATGACTGTGACTAAATGCAGATCAAATCTTTTCCTGCTGGGACAGTAATGTGGGTTCGTTAACACTCTGAGCTTTAATGTCCTCATTGACCAGAACTCTGACTTTTAACGAGTAACAATTCTAGTCCAGGTCACGATTTAACAAATGTTTGAAACAAGACACATTTGAAACATCTTTAAAGATTAAAATGAGTGAGAAGAGCTTCACTATGCCATGATGTGGCCTTAATGGACTCTGTGCCATTCCCTCTGTTTTTTATGTGTCCTAATTGTGCAGCTTTTAAATGCATCGTAGCTCTGATAAGAATTTATTATATTGCTCAGTAACAAGTATACCGTCTGCACTTCCAACCCTGCAGTATAAAGGCATGCAGCAGTTCCCTGTGGTGCAGCAGCCCATGTCATCAGGATACACCCCACCCGCTCCTCCTCCTCCTCTCAGTATGATAAATGGACTTCTTCCTGGAGAGTAAACAACAAAGTCAGCCTACCCCAACCCTACCAGTCACTGTCACATTCAGGTATACAGAGTCACAGGTTATGTGTGGCAAAGAAAACAGCTGTTCGACATTCAGACACATGGCAATGAAGACATGTTACAATGTCATACGTGGCGGTGGAGATGTCCTGGGGCCTTTTTTCTCTTACCTGCAGGGTTCATGGAGATAAAAATACCTTTTGAAATGAATATGGGATCTCCTCTCACTGTCATACTGTTAAAGTTCCCATTTTTAGACATTTTACTTCTCTAAATCTTCTAAAAAAATTCTGTTTTAGTAAAAAGGTGCATATGTTTCTGTTTATCCATTTGTTTTAAGATACTTTATGCAACAGCTAATGAAATGTAAAGCCAGTACTGACATTCATTTGTGAAATAACATCAGCCTTGGCCTGTTGTTTGCTCTTTATACAACTGTTGTGTTTATTTCTTGTTCCCTTGTAGGAGTCACATGTTTCCCAGGCTGCTAATATCCAGACTACTGTCAACCACGACGCAAACGACCCCCTGTCATCTGAAAGGATTCCTGCCTTCCTTTTAACCTGAAGGCAATTGAAAAACTTTGAAAGTAAAAGTACCAAAGTTGTCAAACAACCACTTGTGAATTCAAAGGCTTCCTGCCTGTGTTTTCTGCTTTTTAGACAGAGTTTTTGTTTTATTTGCATGTAAAGGTGTCTTTCTCACCAGGGACCAATTAAATGATAAAGCAGCGCGGTTACAGGTTTATGTAAATTCACTCTACAAGAGGCTTGTATTGATAAATGGCGTGGAATTACAGAACAGCAAATAACTGCAGGTGGTATACATTATTTTCCCTTTTTTAATTAATAAGGTTGCAGAGGAAAATGTAGCGTCTAAGGATGAGTAGCAAACCTCTCTCTCAAGGGCTGTTGAGCTTATAAAGGGAAAAAAAGAGAAAAAAAGTGGAAGGAATAATAGAAAAGGAATAAACACTCAAAGAAAACTAATGCAGGAGCGCAACAGCCTGTTCAGCTCAGGACATGAGTGACAAATGAGGTTTCTTATTGCTGCAGCCAACATTATTAAAGCTGCAGTAAGCAATATTTTTACATTGATTCTGAATCAGAAGGCTCCCTGAACTAACATCCTGAGAATAACGCTGCTCTCAGAACCTTTTACTGCATGACCAAAATACTACTACTACTACTACTACTACTACTACTACTATTACATTACTACTACTACTACTACTACTACTACTACTACTAATAATAATAATAATAATAATAATAATAATATTACTGAAGATTGTATATACAGACGATTATCTCAGTACACAAGCTCTCATTAGAGACTTTTATGACCAAAAGAAGTGACAGGTGGGAACAGCTAACTGTTCTCCAAGACAAAGACACAGCCTTGGAAACCTGCTAGTTTTTGCACTGACTACATAAGCAGTAAGTATCTTAGAATATGATATAAATCATATTTGCCAATGGAAAATGCTAGCATAAAGACTCTAACATAAATGAAAATGGTAAACACAGTGAGTTTGAGCCATAAGCTGATAAAAATACAATTGGACTCACTAGTAAACAGTTAAACTGGGGTATTGTTTGATAAATCATGTCTTGCTCATATTTCAATCTATAATATTTTATAAATGTTCATGTTTGTCATTTAAAGGTCTGTTAAAGGTGGGGTAGGCAGAAATCTGTTAAAGAAGCATCTTTTTGTGGTGTAAATGAAAATAGCTTTTAATATCAGTCAATAGCTATTAGTTATTGATGACATTTGGGAATATCACGATATTGCTGTATTTTGTTATGTCTGTGTAGTCAACATTTTACATTTTACATACATACAGGTTTAACGCTTTAACAAAGTAAGCCAAGTGTCTGTAACAGAAGTGTTGCTTGTCAAACGGGACCTGCTGCATGTTGTAGCGCCGCTAAACTGTTTACCCTATTTACTGAGCGAGCAGGAGCGTCTGTTTGTGGGCGGGGCTTGCTGGAGCAGAGAGGGAGGGGAGAGAAGGAGCTGAGGGGAAAACTGGTTGGGAGGGGTAGAGTTTACACTCAAGATTTCTTCAAAAAACTGGCACTTCCTCAGATCCTGCCTACCCCACCTTTAAGTTCATGGTACAGTGTAGAAATGGGAACATTCAGCGACATTAGCTGTCAGATTCTACACTGAAACGCTCCCTTGCTCACCCCTCCAGTAAAGCAATGGTGGGATAAAAATCATCCTGTTTTCTCTGAACAGTGAATTTCAACACTCAATGTGAATAGTTGCATTTTCTTTAGCGTGCTATAACTGGTCTCATCCACCAGCACAGTGGTTACACGCTCTCGAAAAAGAATACAGAAATCTTGTTTGCTTTTTTTTAGGTCAAAAAGAAGCCCCACTGTTATGTCGGCTCATTTTATTGCCAGCCAAAAACTCCTCACAGGAGTTTTAAGTATTCATTTTCAGCTGAAATGTTGGTAGTGTCACAGCCTGTCTGTTTCCCTTTTTGCTGCTTTATTTGTTTTTGTGCTCCAGTGACAGTCCCTCATGATCTGTTCAATAAACTGTACCACTTTTAGTTATATTATGTGTAGAGGGCGCTCTGATGTTGTTATAAGCAGGTTGGAGATCTTTCATTAAGATACAGGCTGTGCTGCTTAAAGCAAAGTGCTTTATCTAATTGATATACAATAAGTTGGAGTACAAAATATGCTAATTGGTCGGGATTCTAAACAACACAGAGACAGTATGAATCTTAACTACCTGCAGCACCTGTTATCTCTGATGTCAGAAATGATCAAGATGAGAAAGATGGTTTAATGATTGAAAATGAGTCACTCACAACATGATCACTTTCCAAGAGCCTCCTCCTTAAAAAGCACCAAAGATTGATTTATATAAAAGCATCTGGAATTTGTATGAAGCATCATCCACTTAGGGAAGACTGACAGGCGCGCACACACACACACACACACACACACACACACACACACACACACACACACACACACACACACACACACACACACACACACACACACACACACACACACACACGCATCTATGAGTCAGAGAGGTCTCTTGATGTTCTCATCAAGCCAGAAGGCACAGCAGGGACTGACGACTCACTGTTAAGAGACAAATCAGTACACACACACACACACACACACACACGCACACACACACACACACACACACACACACACACACACACACACACACAGAGGAAGACGAATGTCTAAATATTTCCCTCAGAGAAATAAAAGTTAACTATTTCTGATTCTGTCGGGGGTGAATTACATCTGAAAAATTTGTTTAACTATCTGTCTTTGCTTCAGTAGGAATTTAACAAAGAGGTGAGTGTGTACGTCTGTGTCTTTGTCAGTGTTTCTTCAGAAAAAGACCTCTCATTTCCTCTCATTCCCCCAAGTCAGAGTGACAGAAACACAGACACTTCTGAGCAAAGTTTTGTCACTGTTAAACAACTTCACAATACAGAATTTACGGGGCTTTTTTTTCTTTTTTAAGCAATAAAATCCCTTTATGTAGTGTTGCATAGTAAATTCCAAGCTCCAGATCTGTTTAGCTCTAACTAGACATAAAATGTGTACAACATAAGTGTCTGAGGTGCTAAAACCTTGACAGACTTTGTGTTATAACCCCTCATAGAAATGTAGCCTTTATACTGACGGCTTTAGCGGAGAAGTAAAAACATTTATACATCTTAGAGAAACACTGGATCCTTGCCTATAGTCTAAAATCACATCTCAGTCTAAGTTATGTCTGAAGCTCTGAAGGTCTCAACATTTCTAAATGCCTCACATTTCTGAGCGTATTTAATAAGTTTGTGTAGTTTTTAGCTAAGTTGTGCCCCGGATCTGCCTGTGAGACTTAAAACGCCATTGATCAGTTTGAGAAGTGATCACAGCCCATATATTTAGCGTCATTTTGTATTCCTAGTCGTGAAATGTCATCATAGTGAGATATGTGTCTGTACTTTAATCAAAGGGCTATCCTAAAAACTGAAGATTAACCAGTGGAGCCGTGACACTCAAAAAAAAAAAAAAAAAAGAACAGCATACGGGCTTTTTTTCACATATTTTGACGTTCAGAGTTGGAAAGCATGTCTTTTCTAAATATATGCAACCCCAATTCCAAATAAGAGTTGTGTAAAATGCTAATTCTTCGGTTTGGAAATCATTTAAACCCTATCTTTGACTACAAATAGTGTAACGGCAACATCTCCAATATAACTGGGATTTTTTTTATTGATTTGTGAAAAATAAGTTGACTTCACTTCGATGCTAATTCCAAAAAACAGGGACCAAAAAAACTGAACAAGTTGTGTAACGCTTTAAAAGCAGTTAATCGTGAGAGTCAGTAACATGGCTTGATTAAAAAATGGTTAAATCATCAACCTGTGAGAGTCTGTGTGAGCAAGTAGTTGAACAATTCCATAATAATAAAGATTTAGAGAATCAGAGGACTATATGGCCTTACCCTTCAGACCCCTGGGCAACATTGTATAAGACCATGGTGAAAGTCACAGCATAGGCTTAAATTATTGTGTATAATCACAGTCCACCAAATCTACATCCCCAAACACAAATTGAAATTGGTAAATTGGCACACAAGCTTGTGCCTCTTTGATCTTTTTTACTTCCTAACCTTTCTTGAATTATAATTTTCATTCAGTTACTTCTGAAGAGGGATACTTCAAAATAAATCATAATTTGAACATGTAGGGAACAAAGTAACCTTGACACGAGACAGGAAAAAATGTCAAAACCTCAAAGCATGACAAACGATTGCTTATGAGGCAATGGGTTCTCCAAAAACCTTCAGTCACAGGGCTGCTGGTGCGGATAACTTTTAACTTTGAGCATTGTTATTAAACAATAACATGTAACTTAAATGTGTACTGGTTAAGTTTATGGAGTAATCTGTTGCTCCAATTTTGCCCCATATTGCTCTTGTCTTGCCTTTGTTATACAGCTTTCCAGCATCTTTGGAGAATTAACTAATTGTTGCTTTGATTATAAATAATGTTATGCTGTTTCGGTTCTAGAGTTCTTGTGTCCTGATGTTAATCTTACTAAAATGTCTTCAGTGCAGAAATCGTCTTTTACATAAACTCTTTGGTTTGCACACAGAGCTCTTCACAAGGCCCATCAGAGATGCTCAAAGTGTTTTCTACATCACAAAACACTCCAAAAGCATCTTTCTGAAACCTTTATATTTACTCTTTATTGGTGCACCGCTATCTTTTATTATACATCTGCTACTAAAAGAGGACATCAACATTCATCACCAGTCTCTGCAGTTGGCCACCTGATACAAACAATAACGGGAAGCTTTCATGAAAATGTTGCTCTACAGTCGCTCTTGTATTAAAACGACTCCAGCAGGTACTATTAACTCTGAAATAACAATAGCTTCTACATTAAAGGTAATTCCGGTTGCTTAATGCTTTAAAACCACAGAGGGAGACAGAAAATGGAAGAAAAACAGCCTCTGCATACAAGGACTGAGCTGTGGACAAATAGTGTAATTAACAACCCAGTTCTGTTCAAGTGTACAAGGAAGGCATTGTTGGGAAATGTAATGGACACAAAGTAGGAGTAAAACCCAGAACACCTGTTTGCAGCCATTGATTCACAGCAGGTAGGTTGACAGCAGCGTAGAGGTGATCAATTTACCTCACAAGATCAATGTGGAGGTGCAGCAGAAGATTTAAAGTCAGTGGAGAACAGTTCCTTTTAAATAACAAAACATGATAATCAGGGTTCCTTCTCTTGACAGGAGATCATTTTCAAGGACGTTTCCAGGGACAGTTATATCATTAAGAGGGGTCTTTCACATTACTTTGGGACACAACCAGGGGTGAAAGTACGCCAGCAATGTATGCAGGCTACATTTGCTTACCGTTTTGCCGCACGTCAGTCTGCACTCTGAATTGTAATTGTATCATTAATCTAATAGGACCATGCTGCTTGCGAGTGAGTCGTATTTGTTTCTGCAAATAAACTCCACAAGTGGGAGCGCTCAGTGCGCATTTCTGACTGGACGCTGGTTGCCTAGGTACCAGGGACTGCCTCCTGCCTTTTGTGGAAGAAGGGAACTTTTAAAGAGACAG